TATTCCTCAGATAACATTTACCTGACTATTGAAAAATCAGCCCTTAAAATAATATACAACAATTATCCTATGGACTCGTATAAAATAGGACATTTCGTAAAAAAAAACAATCGGAATTGTCGACCTTATACCTTTGCTATTAGTAGTATTTCATAGTTATAACAATGTGTCATTATGGAAGTTTTATTATCTGTTTAGCGCGCAAATGATTAAAGTTACATTTAAATGACGTTATATAATTCCAAGATTCAATTAAAAATTTATTGTCAAGTCATTCTAAGTATTAAATATGTTGTAAATAACTGGCCAGTGTTAGTCTGCCATATGACTAGACGATCCGTACTTCAATTACGAGCATGGCTTTAAGTTTTAAATTATTCGTAATGAAATATTTATGTTCCTAATTCAAACAGTGTTTTATTAGTAGGTATTTAAATTTAAATTTATTTTTCGAATTAAAGAAATTGACCCTTAAATTTGAATAATATTGCACTGGGTTGTCTGTTGTAAGTATGTATATATCGTAAGAATAATGAATGAAAGCGTGCTTTTATTTATTAAATAGTTTATTGCATTGTTCTTTTTTTTATCAAGTACTTAAATCGATTACAATTTTCGTTCCACGTACACGAACATTGTCTTATCTATACAACTATGTACCTAATTATAATGGTTTATAATAATATACTATACTCTATATTCTTAAGTTTTTCACTGAATGAAACTCGATTATCACTGCAGTCACAAGACAGAATCACTTGAATAGCCAAACTTAAAGTGTTGTTATTTTGTGAGGGGAAATTCATCAAATGACTTCTCCCGCCCAGGGTCGGGCGGAAGGAAGTGTCAGACTCTTACTGACTAAAAACCCCCCCGTTACTTCTCCTACTCTGGGCTGAGGTTACGGTGCCTCATTGCGCTTACCCCGCAACCTCGGCTGAACATCAGCCCTATGGTAGAGGGTGTCAAACAATTATAAACTTAATATATGATTCGAAATTTCCCAACGCAAGCCTATTTATAGACAATTGTTGTTATTAATTAATACTCCATAAGCACGCAATTAGTATATGAAAACTACAACCTGCAAACGGTGAGAAATATTTTCACAGGAGTGGCTCGAACTATTTAAAAATCGAATGATCCAAAAATATGTTTGATTTACAACATCCAATAAAATTTTAATGATAATATTTGAGAAAAGCTATTAACACATAAAAATCTTAACTGTTGTTTTATAGTTATTGATATCTTCAGTTATTCTATCTTGGAAGGCTAGTAAGTAGTAAATATTTTATGCAAAATATTTTGACTTGCAAATGTATTGTTTTTCTTTAGTTCAAACTTGAATGAAGATGTTGATTGACGTCATTCAATCGAATAAGTGGTCTTATATCGAAATTTTTATATAAAAAATGTAAGAAGTTTTGTTATTTTTAAGAGTATGCACCGAGTTATGAGGCGAGAAAATCGAAAGAGTTCGGATACGCATTTTAGCAATAACGATAAAAATTCACATGTTCCCAAACAACCATGAAATTCAAATGTTTGGAACATTTGATATCCAAACCTACTTCTCTATTCACGATATTTGAACAGATAAAAGTGTACTAATTGCATGCTAGTAACTTTTTCGCACCTTTTATGATAGCCAATAAAATACATTTTGACGAATTTACGTTCGAATTAGCAAGTTTGAGTGTGTGAAACGATTTTCGGTGAATAAAATCGGATTGAACTAGAATGAATGGTTAAAATAAACGGGCGTGGAGCCATTAAATTTTCGATGCTGGCAAGGGAAATAAAAAAGTAATTTTTGTATCTATTTTATCTGTGTATCACCTATTTGCCGTTTCATAGTCCGGCACTAATTGAACGTAATTGGTTGTTGACCTTTCAATTCGAATCCAATTCGAAATTCGAACGGTGTCCGGGTTTGAGTGGTTTGAAGATCCAGTTAAAAGTTTATTCGAAATTGAACGAATATTTAACCTCTTACTTAAATCAAAAGAAACATTGCCTCGTTTATGTATGTATGGCTTTTAGTAATGATTGCTTATGACCCTATCTCATGATACCCACTCGTAATATAGATCGATTACAAGACATGCCCAGTATGTACATCGTATCACATGCAATAAAATTTATCGAACTCAAAATACAAAAAGCATTTAAAATACAAATCAACCAAAAATAACAGTTTCAACTAAAATATCCCATCTAAAACCGGTCCACACTTAAAAAGAAGCTCATCCAGTATCAGCTAATTCCGCGGCTCTGAATATCAATCACGTACCAAACAGCCCTACGATTATGCGACCGCGTGCAGTGGCATATCGAGGCATTAACATACTACGTAAATCGCGGCACTATTGGGTGGGCCGACAAAATGATTGTCACCTTTTAAATTTACATGTATTACCATACATTACGCGACGCAGATCATTATTCATTAGTCGCCCGTGTTGTCTACTTAGGATCGTTTTGCATGATTAGGTGTCGTGATGTTTTAGTTTCGTATTCATTGCACCCCTATTTGTTTGAAGCTTGTTGGCTTATTTTCTTTGTGCATGTGTGTGGCTATTGTGCTGTTTTATTACCCCACGGGTTTTAATGAGATGTCGTGCTCGTCTCTGAATGTAGTTGAGCTTCATTAATATCAATTCAAAAATTGTCTATAAATAATGTTTTTGGTTTCAATAAATAACTTACCTGGCTATATTCAACAAAAATACCAATAAGAAAAGTATCGCTGCATGAACTGTCCTTTGCATTCTGTTATTTCCAATACAAACACGAAAGTTTTTCATGTTGGCAACACTAGATCCTCTTTTCGCGGGCTCATCGTTACAACTTGTCACTTTTACCGCGAAAATTGACACAACGCACTAGTTTGTTTCTGTCACTGAACGTCAAAACAAGTCCAAATGTTATTGTTTGCTCCAAACTGGAATTATGAACGTGAGTTTTAGAACGTTTGATATGAAATTCGTTGATATTTATATGCCGTTAAATGAAGCGGTTCTCGCGTCGTTTTTTGTATTTAGTGTATGTTTGTCGCGTGTTTTTTATTCGCATTTTATTGTTTGTTTACGTTTTTAGTCGGTGTACCGTCGGCGCGTTGCCGTCGGTTTGTATAGCGCCCGTGTTCGGTCGCGCATGTCGGTGCGTTCGGCGCGTGGGACGTGAGGCGTTCTCTTCGCGCCGCCCAGACGTCGAGAAAAAAAAAGCTAGAGGGGCGTCTTCGGAACGGCCCCACCTACTCGCGTCATTATCCTCGTTTACGCGATTATTTCCTATATTTCGGCACGGAACAGATGATTTTTATGTGTTATGGACGGCCGTGTGAACTCGGTGAGCTCTCGTTTGACAGTGGCCCACTGGACGCAATCCCTGCGTTTAAAATGCCGCCCCACGCGTCATCCCGACTGTGGGAAACAATATCCCGTTGCTATTGGTATTGGGGTTTTTAAAGATTAGTTTTATTATCAAACATTTAAACTTATATTGGCAATATTCAACATAGCTAAGAGGTTTAAAATTCACTCGATTTTTTATTTGATAAAGTAATACTTGACACCTTGATCACGCTTTTCGATGGATGAGTTGTTTCTATCAAAATTTTACAAACGCCTTCTACAGTAAATCCTTTATTACAATCTTAAATTATCAGTCAGAAGGCTGACTACATATTTTACTACAAAAAGAAAGAAATGGATAGTGAAGTCATCTCACCAAGACCAGCGTCCGAACAAGCTTGAATGACGAATTGTTCAATAATCGAGGGTCGAGAGGGTTGTAATCGTACGTCACAACAGCCCTTAACTTGAGGGCGACGTCAACCCCTTAGTTAGGGCGGTTTTGTCGCGTGCGCAATAACAAATAATTACCAACAACAATACAATTACACTCATTACAGACCCTATTACTTAGACGTAGAGTTGATAATAGCATCTCATTTTATAAAAATAAAGGGATATTAAAAAAGCCACAGTGTAAAAAAATCGCTTGAAAATTCATTGTCGTTCTGCACTTTGGTTGGGAGTTCTGATTTATTTATTTTTTGCTTGACAAATAATGGTCTTGATGGCATTTAATAGACTTCTCTATGTCAATGCTGACAGAGGGTCATGTCATGGTCTTATTACAATTTTAGGGTATCATGAATACAAAATATTTGATAATAGCATTTTAGTTTATTGTTCTGTGGTATTTTGTACGGAATATTTTATTGAGCCGTGTTGTCATTTGTTTTTGCGTTGTTTATAATTGAAAGAGGCGTTCATAACTAGGAGATAATAAAATTACGTTTAGTTTTTGCGTTAGTTATAAATTTAATTAATATTGAGCAAAATATCAATTACTACTTATCTACTAAATGAACTGTTTAGAAATATGCCCATGATAAGAAAAATCATTTTTCGATACAATACTACCTAGCACGACATCGTTTAATCTGATTAATGTAGACATCATATTACACAAAAATACATAAAAGTAGAAAAAAAACAACAAAAAGAAAAAAATAAATTTATCAACATCCTGTTGAATTCGGTAAAGCTCATCGCTGATCTTCAACTCACGACTAAATCAAATAGTATAATAAAAAAAAAAAACTTCAAACATATTGTAGAATTTAAAATTTTGACGTAACACAAACATCTGTCGGCATATTTTTAGCTTACTTTATGCGGAGGCAGGGTATATGTTAATGCTAGCTTTGATCTAGCCACGCGTCCCCACTTGTGCTGGGACTTGTACCAAAACAGTGCAATCTTTATACATCAGGACTGACGAAGCTATTTAAAAGTGTATATTGATGAGATTTCAAGTTTCTTTATTAATTTGGTATCAATTCTAGATAACTTTAGTAGTACATACCTATGTTTAGTCAGGTACTTGCCGGGATTGCTGGCTATTTTTATTTATGAGGGGAAATTGCCAAATTACTCTACTTACTCTCTTCCAAAGTAAGCCGAGAGGGAGTGTCAGACTCTTACTGACTAAAAACCTCCCTTTCCATTTCCTTCTCCAGGTTGTGGCCGCGGTATCTTATTGCGCTTGCTTTACAATCCTGGCTGAACATCGACTCTGTTAGGCCCCATATGTGGTGGTCTGTTGGCTTGCCGTACGCTCCAGTATGGTTCTGGTCTAGTGGCAAGCTACCCTTCCTCGCCGTCCTGCGGTAGCTTGGGCGTAAGGAGGATAGTTTCCTTAATGTGCTTGACCTCCTTTTTTGCGAGCATCACTGCTTTGCACAAGGATGAGGCGGCTTCCCAGTTTTCTCTCACGCCACACGTTGACCTCGACTAAGGCAGGATGCGAGACTGGTGACCCCACAGGGTTGCGGGTGAAAGCGCAATAATTTACCGAGGCCATGTAGCAGTGACGGGTTGGTTTTTAGTCAACAAGAGTCTGACACTCTCGTACGCCTCACCCAGGCCGATAGAATTCACTTGATGATTTTCATCATGAAAATAAAGAAAAGGAGTACAGTTGAGACGGTCCGGACTCCCGACTAACTATTTACACTACAGTAACTCAAACAAACTGATCAAAGAAATAACCAATTCTAAGATCATGATTTGTATTACTCGTATATTATAATAACATGATTTTAAATTAAGAGAAACCGACCGTTTCACTTGTTAACCTAGACTGGGATGACGCAAATCTATAACCGGATTATTTGTTAGTATAAATCCGATTGAGAATAACAATTTAGTTTAACAATTGAAAGCTGAAATAACTCAGGTTTTATTAACACACCTAGACTGTTATGTTACATATTTATCTTTAGTTCACTTTGTTATAAACTGCAGGTGTAGTAGAATACTGCAGTTACCTTGGATTCTCATTTAGATTTTATGAGGTAATGTTATTGTGAGTCATCCTATCTATGGTGGTCAGTCATTTAATAATAGTTACTTAACTCAGATTTTGGGCTTCAAAGAGCCAACTGACCAAGACAGACGGGGCCTTATAGGGCTGATGTTCAACCGGGGTTGTGGGTCTGGTTCTGATCGGGTGGCGAACTACCCTTATTCGCCGTCCGCAGACCCGCGCTTACGGTGGCCGGAAATCGTCTCTTGATCCCCAACGCCCGGAATTTCGCCTACTGCGGCGGCTGGGGCGTGAGGAGGAGGATTGCTCCCTCACGCGGTCGGAAGACAGACAGGGCTGATGTTCAACCTTTGTAAGAGCAAGCTCAATAATGTACCTCATCTCCAACTTGAAGCAGGAGCAGGAACGGGGTTTTTTGTAAGTAAGAGTCTGACAATGCCTCCAGCCCCACCTTAATGCGAGAAGAACTTTGTCGATATCCCCCTTCAAAAAAGTTATCCATTCCTTAGCAATTGTTTTCAGTACATAGTTGTCACTGATGAATGATTTAAGCAGGTCATCATTAAATGTCCCTGAATGCGGCTGCGAGTCCATTATCAGACGTGCGTTTTGACCCAAAATGTTCATTTGGTCGTTTACAAGTGCGAGGAAGCTGCTATGCCAATGGATATCGAACAGTAGAGCACTGTCAGGACAACTTCGGTTAGACTAACTATGAAAATGTTCTTATTTTAATTTTGTTGTTCTGTTTTTCAAACCTTTTATTGTATTATTTTTGTTACTGGCCTTCATGTCTGATGCGGAATAAAAACAGTTTTCTTTTTTCTTTCTTTAAAAAAATATAAAAGAAGAAATCGGGTAAAGTAATGATAATATAAGGATCATATCAAAGAAAATCGAACATTTTATAACTTGTGTATTCTCTACTTGCATCTATTATTTTGCAGTAAATCAAAGAATAGGTATATAAACAAAACACCGTTACGAATTTATTTTAAACGTTTTACCTAAGGTAGTGTTTACACCTAGTAAAGCACCTAATTTTAGCATCAAACCGTCAAGCATATAACTAGCATGTTGTTCTACGCAGTAAGATTTGACATGAATAAGTAATAATGGAGGCTTAACTACGCATTGTTTAAGATAATAATATTTTATTCATTAATTTTATGAGTGATATGATTTTATTAGTATCGTTGTCAAGAACTGAGGGTTTTTCTTTCGAACTATTAGGGTCTAAGTTAGCATTATATCAACCACAATAAATTCATTGCTGAACATAGGGCCTAACTCTTTATGATTTCACACAAGTTGGAAGTGGCCTACATCCAGCTGTTTTCTGAGACCCTTATCATGAAGTACTCATATTTTTTTTAAAAACGATGTCCACACTTGTACTTTCTCCTGTGACATAGAAGCGTTTAGAAACATACGATTTCACGTACACGATTCCGCAATACGATGCAGCCCGTTGTTCATCCATTGTGTGAACCATGCAGTAGAATGCTATGTAATACAATATACATGAACTAAATAACGGTTAATAACATTATTACAACAATATGATTAAGACTAAGCGCTGGTATGGACCGACAAAAATCTCAAAATTAGAAATAAATCATCGAAATATCAAACAATAAATAAATCTTGAAGTTAAGCCTCTGTGCATTTAATTACTCATGCGATACACAGCTGCGATTGCCACATGCGTAGGTATCCAATAATGTATGAGGTGGCACGCCCCATCGTCGGCAATTGCCAGCCTTTGGCCGTCATTACGACTTAAACACTCATATTTAAATAAATATCCAGAGTCGATTATGTGGCAGGAAGATTATTGCGTATTTAGAGGTGACCAGGGTGCAATATAAGGGAAAGCTTTTCGTTTCTGTTAAGGGTCTGTGCTATTCAAGAGTAAATGTTTAATTAAATCAAGTCAATTGATTATAGGTACGACTATAAAACAATATAGCTTTCTCTGTCCCTATACCTATACTTATGTTCGCTTAAATCTTAAAAACTACCCAACGGATTTTGATGTGGCTTTTTTAAATAGATAGTGATTAAAAAGTGGGTTGCTAGAAGATTATATTTTGATGCTATTTAATTATAATAGGATAAAACCGAATTTATACGTCATATATTTTTTTATTGAATTTGAGTCCCAATTTTGCAAAATGAATTTTTAAAAAAATAATAGACGATTCTACGGAAGATATCGATAGAATTCGCCTTAAAACATTTAAGGCATATTTGTATATCGAAACATTCTATATTTATACACACTATCGGCCCTTGCTGGCGATTAAGTGTTGCCAGCCAACACATCGCTTGCAGCTACTGTCATGCATCATTTTCTGTTATTATCAATTACCCCGCGAACGTATCGCGTCACCGCAATATTGGCTGGGAAATGTTCGCGGCGTGTGGTGTTGCCAGCCACATTTTCAAATTACCTTTAATAAGAATACCTATATTTTTTCATGTTTGCGGCTTTGTGAATGTCTTGTGTTTATGAAGAGGAATTTGACGTGAAGGAATATTTTTATTTCTTTGAATGTCTTCTAATAATATGTTACTCAATGTCGTATGAATAATATGTTAGCTATCGACGTATTATTAATTAATTCATTGTTTCTAGTTTAATTATAAGTGATGCAATACAAATCGTACATATATTATCTATACTTTAACGCTCAGCGTTTTAATAACAAACTGAAGTCAACACAAAAAATATTCTTAAATTTACACATGTATTCATCAAAGAATATTCATATAAACTACGCTAATTATTTCAACTAAAGATTGTAGAGACTCACAGACTCAATTAGATAACTTTAGGGGGCTATATAAAACAGCTATAAATCAGCGAAGGGTCGAACGCGATATTTTAGGCCGTTTACAAACGCAAGGGTTGATGCGACAGATGTTGAGAGTTGCGACTAAAAAACGCACTATTTTAATGCTCAACTGTGATTTTAACCCTACCAATTTGTGGGCTCAGCGTGACTATTTATCAAAATATTTTGGAATACTTGGAAACATACTTTGTAAAAATAATTTAGCAACTAATAACCATGTAGCTTTTTTAGACCACAGTAACTTCTGCTGTCAAGCAACTCTCTCTAAGTTCTATAAAAATTTTAATCAGATATAATGTCATGAAAGCAAGTACATTTAACAGTTAATTCATACAATAGAGAAAATACTCTTTCTAAATCCCAAACAGGCGACTAATTAAACGCAGGGCTGTAGCAAGCCTATCGCCGATAGCCGGACGATCGGTGCGGCGTGCGTCCGGCGACCGGTGCGTTCTCCGTACAACTCGACGCGGGATCTCGTTAGCATGCTTATGCGACATTTCACATGAACTAATTGCGAGCATTTAGCCATCTTGATAAAATACCCCGACTGCCCTACACGCATCGCGATCGTGTAGATTATTCTGTTTGTAATTTGTGCAGACGTGTTGTTTGTGCTCACAAATAAATACAAATAATTGGTAAAGGTTAAGTGGGAAGTGTTGTTGTTATCTTGATTTTGCTTAAGGTATTAATTGCACGGAAGCCTGTGCTTTTTTCTAATTTGCATTTTTATTATTTTCTTTTGTAGTTATGATAGTGATGTGTTAAATGATCTTTTGATGTTTGTTGTCATAATTCGTTGACGCTAGCTAAAAGTATTTTAACTTTACATGAATTCCTGTCTGATTCTTCTTGACTAATTATGACGAAACATTAAACTTAAATTATTTTTTTCTGCCTACTCACCTGCGTTGCCACTCTGTACCTACATAGTCTTTGGTACTAGTATCTTCCCCATCGATTTCCTTCCATTAGCATTCTAAACACTCTCTCTAGCCAATGTGAATGATAATTGAAACACGGTACTAGACATTTTCAAAGAATTCCACAAGTTGTATGCAAAACGGGAAAATAATGAAGGGAAAAACCCAATGCAAAAAGCATATGGCTTACTTATTGCTGGTTTCATTAGAACTGTGTCTTAGCCAGTTCATAGTTACTATTGTCAAAATTTTTATCCATACTAATATTATAAAACTGAAGACTTTATTTGTTCGTTAAACGCACTAATCTTAGGAATTACTGGTTCGAAATTGAACATTATTTTTGTGTTTAGTAGACCATTTATTGCGAAAGGTTTTAGGCTACAAAACATCACGCTACGATCTTTAGGAGCCAAGCAGCGGGTGAAACCGCGCTAGAGTAGCTAGTTTAATATAATTCTTAGTACAAGATTAATGTACAGGAGTGAATTCTTTAGTTTCATCTTCAACTTTCAATTTTTAAACCGAGCATTTGGTGAACCTTTGGATAGTATTTCTGTACAGGTCTTATGACAGCTTTAGAAATGTGTGGTGCCATTACCTAACAAGTTCTGAGATGTAATATTTAGTTAACTGATTTGATTTGCCACTGTTAGGACTTAATTTTGTCCTAGAAGACCGTGTTTCACCCCAAGGACATCATCTAAATTTCACACTGGTAAGGTAAAGCTACAAAAGAAAAGCTAGTATATTAATATTAAGTTACACAGAACACTACTGCAAGTCCCTGTAAATTCTTTGCCTTGACGTGACATACTTTCATTCCGTTCCCACACAACTCTAGACAGTAATTTGCCATTCATACATAGAATTTTATTCACCATATTAATTATAAGATTTATTTCAGTAGACTGGCTTGGTCGCGTGCTGGTAGGTACCGAGTAAAAATGGTGCTATTTAGCAAACGTTTTCAATGATTAGGTAACTGGTTGGATGTAGGATTGTTTTTCTTTTTCTATGGGTCGGCTCAACCAGAGTACCACGGCCTCGCAGAAAACAGGCGTGAAATAATCACAGCGTTGCGTTTCGCCGTGTGAGTTAGGTTACCGGAGGATCACTCCTTCTCCTTCCTCTCCAATCCCTAATCCCCAAAAGGTCAGCAACGCACTCGTAGCTCCTCCGTTGTTGCGGGTGTCCATGGGCGGCGATGATTGCTTACCATCAGGTAATCCGTGTGTTCGTTTGCCGACTTATTACATCAAAACATATGGCTTGTTGATGTACATATTTAATCATTTAATTTTCTTTGCTAAACTGAAGCCATTGATAAAGCGAGGTGATGTTCTAGCGTGTAATAAATTTATTTAAGCTTTTATGAACAGACAATAAAAAAACATGGTACAGGACGAGAGGTATTAGCGAAACAGAGGCAACAAAAATAGTAACAAATAGTAGAAGAGTCGTAGAAGACGAACGTGGCGTGATCTAGAAAGAAAGATATCGTTATTTCAACTTTCCTGGTATTTTAAAAATATTTTAGAACATTTTCCTTTTGATATCGTGTTTCAGCCAATCAAACTATCAAAACGCAATATTCTGTTATGTTGTGTTGTGTTATGTTCACACACTTGCCATTTTCATATCACATCGTTACATTTTAAAACAAGGTTTTTTGATCATCAACAAAGTAATCAGTAAGTACCTGAAATGCTTCGAAAATATACCTACCTATATAAAAACCGGTCGCTAACGAAGTAAAAAATAATCAAATGTACGAGTTTCTCGGAGTCAATTAGATAGTTATTCG